TTCTGCTAGATGCTGCGCAAACATATAGCAAATGACAGCCCCTGCCCCAAACAGCTTGCAATTTAAGGCCATGTCTATACATACATCACTGCAGCAGCACAGCTGTACTGATACAGCTGCAGCACATCTGGTGAAGATGTTTTATACCAATGGGAGAGAGCTCTTCCGTCAGCATTAAAAAACCCACTTCCACAAGTGGCATAAGCTATGCCAGTGGGAGAAGTTCTCCTGCCGACATAACACTGTGCACCCAAGCTTATGTCACACAGGGGGGTGGACTATTCACACCCTGAGCAACATAAGTTTTGCTGACATAGGCTGTAGTGTAGACATAGCCTAAAATATTAGGCATAAGAAGCAGATGAGATAAAGAAGTGAGTGGGGTTAACAAAAATTATACGATGCGTGCAAGTTTTAGCCAGTCAGGAGCAGTAATCCAAGTTGCCACCTATTTAACCATAGGTTAAGGACAACAATTGAAGAGAGGGAGGGTCTGGTATTTACTAATGATGAGATGAAGGATTTTCTGAAGTGGAATTTAAAGAGGAATTTGAAGGAGAGTGAGGACTCTTGGTGGCAGGGAACAAAGAGACTGTTGCACTCCTGGGGCTGCAAGAGAGAAGGCATGAAGCTGGGATTGGGAGACAGGAACAGAGGGAGGAGTAGGGAGAGGTTTGGGAAGAGCATAGGGAGTGAGATGGGGATAATAGGAAGAGAGAGCAGAGATGTAGGTAGGGACAAGATTACGTAGAGCCTTGTGGAAGAGGAGCTTGAACGTATGTGATGAGACAGGAAGCAGAAGAAAGGATTCAAGGAGAAGGCGATGTGGAGTGCAAGCATCCCTCCCCTTCCTGCTCCGCCTAAAAATCCAGGCTAAACACTACCATGACACTCAACTGTCTTAGGGTTTGTCTGCGCCGCTGTAGCACTTCAGTGTAGACACACACTACTGCAATGGGAGGGGTTCTCCCATCAGTGAAGGGCTGTAATCCACCTCTCTCAGAGGCGGTAGCTAAGCTGATTGAAGAATTCTTCTATTGACCTGGTGCAGTCACCACCAGGGGTTAGATCAGCTAACCTATGTCGCTCAGGGGTGTGGATTTTTTACACCCCTGAGAAATGTAGCTGGGTCAACCTAACTTTTTAGCGTTGACCAGGCCTTACTTACAAACTACAAATAGGAATAAGATAATCAGGTTTATCTGTAACCTTTTCTGTCAAATGTGTTAAAGACAGAGCACATTTCAGATATCTGAAAGGGCTCTAGAGACAATTCATCTTCCAATTTGACGATGAACATTTCTTTTTGGGGAGCAAATCGACATCAAACCAATCAGCAATGAAATCATTCAAGTTGGCCTCTTTAAACTGTGACTACCCTATACCCACAATCTGAACCCTCACACCACTCTGTTGAATTGATGCTCCCATTACTTCTGAGCCATGGATCCTAAACAACCTTAATCCTCCAGCTACTCCCCAGAGCAGCATCTTCTATTTTGTTGTGCGCTCTCTATCATCTTTTGTCCTTTTTTACCCTGCTGTCTCTTCCCTTGGCTCAGTTGTTTTCTCTTATTGCCTCCACACTCGCTTTATGGCTGAACGATGGAATCAACTACCCACTGGGAAAATGCCTTTTTTTAAAAGTGCCCTGCTCCAAAAGAACCTGCGCTAGGGCTCATGATTTACAGAAATATTAAGCCCTTCTGAGCATACAGTTGGATGTTTAAGGTCAAACCTGGACACCAGGAAACATCTGTACAGACATACCGGTCAAGCAGATTTTGTATGGAGCCATACTCAGCGATTGAGTACAAACCAAATCAATGGATGAGTTCAGAAAGCAGCATCACAACAGTCACATATTTGCACTGCAGTTGTTATCTGCATCAATCCGTCATAAAGAAGTTCTTCCCTTAAAAAAATAAGAACTTTTGAAAAATAAAATAAATTACCTAAACCAGAAAAGAAACAACATTTGTGGAGGAAAATTAATCAGCACTAGAAACTAGCAAAATCACCTGCCCTCTTCTACATATTTCAAAACTACAGAAGTATCCACTGTGCTAAAGCTCTTCATTTAGCAAGAGACTAAACAAACACATCTACAATGACCTCTACCAGGAGAGCATTACACTGGTAAGGAAAGGTTTAACAAAAAGGGGGAAAATGTGTCTTTTAATGTGCATTTAGTGTGTTCTGCATATTCTCCCTTTTACAAGCGATAACAGAAAAACACATACACAAAGTTAAAACTTTTCTCCCCAACTAGAACGCACACAACTATTTTCAATACATCATCCTGCTTCTTTCTGCAGACTTTAAATGCCGAAGACACAGTGCTATAAGAGCAGGTATATGGCTCAGTCTTAAAGCCGAGTTCCAGCTGGGATAGTTAAAGGCCAATCTATCTTTTTTTACTGACTCTTAGATCTAGGATTTATGAACAACCTGCTGAGTGAAGTGTAATTAACTCACTCCTGTAAAAGTACACAAGGGAATTCCATCTCAGCATTCCTTTGTAGATAATTTGCTATTCACTACAGTTGCATAAATTCAGCTGATGCTCTAGTTTTAAAAGAATACATGAAAAATTCTAGTCTAACAAAGACCTAAATAAAGATTAAGAATAAAATATTGAGTATTTTGCCACTATTTCTTTTGACAGAGAACTGCTTTTAAATTGACTAACTTAACAATGTGGATCCAGCAATAAACCAGCCTGAACATAGAACCACAGTGAGCATTACAGTACTTAACATGTGTAATCTTAATACACCAATTAATGGTGATTTTATCACCATGCACTGTGTCAATCCACAGTATGAGGCCAACTGTAACAGGTATCCAAAGTCACAGTCTATGTGTGGTCGCAAGTTTCTAAGTAATGTTTTTATACAAAAAGTAATACCAGCCCAAAGTAAAACTAAAGGCCATACCCTACACTCCTATAGAAACACCACAGGGGAAGCAGAATTGCCAGGAAGCTCTGGGATGAAGGTGTCCTTTGAGTACACCCCAGAATACACTGAGACTTGAGGGGCTGCACGGTGGAAGGGGATACTGCCTTCAAATTGTGCAAATCCCAGGAACTGTGGGAAAAAGAAGATGCCCACATGGTGTACTGAACCCTCAATGATACTGCAGGGCTCCCCATGACAGTGCACAACCTTGGCCTTGCTGCTATTGGCTCCTCTACCCAAGTGTAGGCAATCCCTCCTCACTGAGAAAGGTGTAGGCATAAAACAGGAGTTAGTGATATTGGAGTAGTATTAACTTTTGCTCAGAGATCTATGCACTTCTACAGGGAGCAAGCCCCAAAGAGTGGCTGCTCCCCCAATTCACCACCTTCTGAACAACAGAGCCTCAGTCTTGTGGAATCAGGGTGGTGCAGCTTCTATGGGACATGGGGAACAAACTATGGAGCCCACAGCCTCCTTCTGCATGCAAAAAATGCATCATCATGCTGTTTATGTTAATGAAGAGGAGCATATTTTAATTAACTTTACATTTTATTTATAAATATGCACCCACTCAATACTATATACACAATCATCATAGGTTTCAGAGTAGCAGCCGTGTTAGTCTGTATCCGCAAAAAAGAACAAGAGTACTTGTGGCACCTTAGAGACTAACAAATTTATTTGAGCAATCATCATAAATACTAATACATCATAAATAAGTTTCTCTTTAAATCATAATAATGAAAACCAATGGAAAAAACACCAAACTCTGGAATTCCAATATACTTCACTTGCTCTGTGTGACAAAGTCAGAACTGACAGCTATAAGCGTGTTGGAAGGTTGGTATATCAGGCCTTGAATGGTGAAGGCCCTTTTCCCCATGAGCTGAAATGAGATCATCTCAGGTTAATTAGACACACCTGAGTTCAATTTAATGGCCACCAGGAGTGACCTTTAAAAATCTCTCTTCTGGTGAGAGAGGAGGAGGGATGAGGAAACAAGCTGCAGGAGGGAGAAAAGGCTGCTCCTAGGTGGAAGTCTGTTCTTTCTATAGGGGAAACAATCAAGTTAACGTCTGTTGGGGAAAGGATTGGTGACCAGAAGCCAGCACAATAAGGCAACACCCTGGAGAGGGGGTAGGGACACATACGTATTTTTTGTGCGTTGTGAATTTGTTTTTTGCTTAAGAGAACTACTCAGGCCTACCCTGAGGCCCACCTTGTAAATACTGAAAAATAAACTAAAGTGAAGAATTAAAAACCTCTGGAGTAGAACTGATTTACTCCAGGCCCCCACCACCGGAGGGAGAAATGCTAAGGCAAATGACGTTCCTTGCCAGACTTTTTTTTTCTTTTTGTAACACAGAAAACAATCCTGCTAAACCACTTTGTTGGGGTCAAAAGTAAATTAAACAGCTGAACTAAAAGCCTTTCAAAAGGAGATTTACCATAGAAACATGGATTTAAGATCTATTTTAACTACAGAGCTGCAGTAAAGTATTATATATTCCCTTTGCTCATACTTTCTCAGAGTACATATTTCTATTAATTCTTCATCTTATAAAATGTGTACAGTCCATTTTTTTCTGCTACTGAGATGAGGATGTGAACCTTTAGTATATCTCAAACAGGATGAATTTACTAATACACTGATGGATCTTTAATGTACCTTATCTAACTTTCCAGAGAGAAACTACAGTCTAGATTAGAAGATCACCTTTAACTTAAACCAAAAACCCACCTAAAACCATCCTCTGAGCCATGCCATATAAGGTAATCCACATGCCATTTTAGGTCTTAAATTACTCAGCACGATGTGATTGTCTGGCATGTACTCACTGCTGTAGCCACTCTGAGCTAATGAAAGCATAAACAGAAGAGAAATGATTCTTAACCGTTCCATAGAAAAATATTAAGCCTGAATATGGCTACATGCTTTGCAGAATGTTGACATTTTTGCATTATCAACTACTAATCATACCATCAAGGCAGCTAAATGTAAATATCACTTTGCCATAACATTTTCCCCACACTTACGTAGGATTTTCCATAAACGATTCACCTGCATCAAGGTGATTCACCTGAAAATAAAGTCAACAAAGCAGGTGATGTTTCCCACAGTTCTTTAATGCATTTAGTGACCTTTCACAGCACATTTTCAACATCCATACAACTAAGATTAAAACAAATGAAAACAAACCTTCGTTAGAATTTAAGAACCCAATTTTTAAACAGGCCTCAACATGGCCTCTAATATTTTGGACATATTTAGTGGTTCCTACAACTGCATACATTTATTATACTACTACTAAATTATAATAATCTTTGCATTTAACTAATATCTTCTGAGAATTTCATAGTGCTTTGCAAACATGATTAAATTAACTCTCACAATACCCATATGAAGATGACTGGCATTACACTCAACGGCATTTCCGTTTGTCTGTAACATGACAGCTTTGGAATTGATTGGATGTGATGTTCAAAAGTATCTCTTGTTTCTTTGATGGCATTTCTCTGTGTGTAACACCACAACTTTGGAACTCCACATCCAATCAGACACCTTTTCTGTTGAATGTGGATTTCACTACCACCTGCTCTGCCTTTGTCACCTCAAGATTAGACTACTGTTATGCTTTACATAGTACTGTACCTAGCAACTATTCAGAAACCAAAGTTTGATCAGGTAGACCTGCCTGCCGCCTAGTGTATCAGCAGCATATTACACCAATACTCTGAATTCTGCATCAGTTCTTTATTAGTTTTTAGGTGGTAATTACATTCTATTTCTGATCTGAAAACTGACTATAAAAATGACATTGTAGAGTTCCATGTTTATGGTCTCTGATTTCATATTAAATGTGCTCACTTTACAAGTGAACATTTTTTCAAACTGCCAGCTCTGCAAACTCCCCAGTATGGGTTCAGATGGTTATCACCACCAGCAACAAAGGTTCTGCAGGGCAAATTACATATGTACCACCTCATCATTTTTAAGTTGCGCCCTCAGGGATACCTGTGCAATGACCTTATCTTCTAATTATGCTCTCAGTGACTCATGTGAACCGCACTGCCCTTACATGGAAATTTGTAGACAAATTGGTAGATGATACACAAGGAGGAACAGAATCCAGCTCTGTCTCTCCTTCGCTGCTTTGACTCTTCTGAGCTAACAGGAGTAAAAAGCAGTGAACTTACTGTCACTTAAATCATCCGTTTTTCTTCTGAATACTGAGAGAAAGCAGATCTGTTGAGTAAGGAGGTGTCATTTTTATACGCTATGTTTCACAATACATCTGCTCCTTTCAGATGTTGGTTTTGAGCTATAAAGCCACCTGCTTCTCTTGAGGGTCTGCCACAGTTACAATTGTTGGAGGCACTTGAGCTGGGATCTTGATTAAAATGGGAAAGTCTTCAATGTGTTTTTTATGAAAGGACCTGGACTTTGGAATTCACCTGAGCCTCTGGGTCTGAAACAGCTCAAGTTTATTCCCTGGAAGGCATGCTTCAAGACAACTATTTTTTCAGGCATTTGGGGGCTTAAAAGGTATGGGGTTTGTTGGGAGGGAGGGAGGGAGAAGTGTTACTTGAGTGCTGGTTAGTTAATTTAGCTATGGGGGTTCTGGTTGTTCTAGACCAGGTTTGCTATTTTAAAATAAGTTGTGTAATTAAAAAAAATTGGCCTCAGCCAAAATTTTCAAACTTGAGAGGCTAAAGTTAGGCACCAAAGTCCACAGTTAGGCACCTAAAATAAATGGCCTGATTTTCAAAGCGATTGAGCACCCAACAAAACTGGTCAGCCTATAAAACCTGTGCTGTGTACAGGTATTTAAATGTCTCTATAACTGAAATTTCACAACCCAGTTTGACTGCTTTCAGGTCCCTGAGGGCATTACCCATTGAAGGACCTTGTAAGAATTCCTGACATTGCCACCCTACTGAATTGCCTGGTTCCCTGCACTGAAATTTGCCTAAAGGACTATGTTTAGACTCCTTGAACTTTTGAAGCCCAAACACATCTTTATGGATAAGCTTCCATACAGGCAGCCTGTGGTGATCCAGTGAGGCTATTCCTGAAGTGATAGTCCTTCTGCAGATCCTCCCTTAAGGGTCCTAAACTCTGAATGAGTTTGTTATTTGTTTAACACCAACACTGGACTCAATGCTGTGCAATACACAAAAACAGAGTTAATCCTTGCCAGATGAGGTCATAGGCCCTGAGTTTGCAGGCCCCAAGACTGAAAAAACATTATGCACAAGTACTCCCAGGAAAGTCGGTGGTACTACTAATATGCACAAAGTTAAGCATGTTCAGGTTTGCAGGATCATGCCTTAAAAGAGACCTACTAAATAAAAACATGCACCAGGAACTCCAATGATGGGTATAAAAAGGGTTTTATTTGTTTACGGTCTATTTAAAATTTCAAAGTCATTGAAGATTTAAACACAACAGTGTGAGGTCAAGTTGATGACCTAATTGAAAAGGACTTATTTAAAGGATTTCTGCAAAAATAAAATGTCACTAAATATAATGCATATTGCAAAGCTAGTAAATACTTACAGCACAAAGGAGAGCAAAAGTGTGATACATTATCTTCTATGATGCACAGTATTTTGTGCATTTGTGAATGGCATTTTGATGCATTAAAATGATTGCTCTTTTTTCTGTTTCACTTAAACATTGACAAGAACTAAAATACTACAAGCGTTCAAGTTATTTTGCTCTGTGTAAAGTCTCAGGCAGTCATGAAGGTTATGGAAAATGTGATTTTTCCTGATCTGATATAATCACTCCCGCCTTTTCCATGGTATTGCTTTGATTTTTTATTTGTTTAACATCAGCTACCTTAAGGAGAAGAGGAACACTGCTGACAAGTGTACTGAGTGCAATCTGCAGAGGACACAAGTCAATTTACAGATGCAGTTACAGAGCCTTAGCTTTTTGGCTCAAGCTATAGCAGTTCATGCTTTTAGTTCTGGAGGTCTTCAGTTTGCTCCCTGGTGTGTCGGCCAAGATGCCATCCATCCCTAGGGTAGGGATGCATGCTCTGTAATACCAGTTAAATGATTAGCTCTCCCCTTCGCTGTGCTCCAGGGCTGGAGATCCACAGGGCAAGCATCCTACTGCTAGCTAGCTGAGCCAGTCTCATCTTCACTGCTTTGGATGGCTGGGGTTCTGGAGGGCAGGCCCCTCACTGCTGTCTGCTTCCTTAACAAAATAGTCTAGCTACCCAGGCACTGCAATATGAGATGTTTCATAATCTAATGTATAGGAACAAAGAGAGGTGGGGTAATTAGGCCCAGAATAGGCACAACGACACTTAGCAGCACAAGTGGGGGGGAGAAAAGTAATTGCCACAGTTGAAGCAGCACCAGGACCCAACAAAGACAGCAGAGCTAAGGGGATGGCACCTGCCTATGCTATCAAAACCCCACTGCTCACCCCCAGGTCTACACCAGGGTGGAGCAGCAGCCCCCCATCAGCTCCCCGCTCCCTTAAGTTCCCTGTGCAGCAGCCGCCCAGAAGGCTTATCAATTGCCCGGCAGTTCAGCGGTCCCTCCCCCCACTGCCGTGGTGCTGCTCTTGCCCTCTGCCTTGGAGCTGGTCCCGGGAGCCTCTTGCTTGCTGTGCGGGGGGAGGGGGAAGAGGGATGCTAATGTCAGAATGTCCCCCTCCTTCCCGCTGCTGCCCCCCACTACTTTACCCCTGTGACGTTGCACTCTATATGATTTTATAAATATATGCTAATGAGTGAATATAATGTAACTGGAATATGCTTCATGCAAAAGGTCTCTTGTAAGGTATCATTACAAAGCTTATGATCTACGGAGTATGGTCATCCTATTTGTATAAATGTATCACTCTTGTATCTGAAACTAGAAATATGAAATATAACTCTGAGGGCCTATTGTAATTATGCAAAGTGTGGGCCATTAATGGTGGTTTGGAATCTTGATGGCTCCCATCAACCAGGACAATTGACTGTGGATGGCTCTGTTTGCAGGCAAGCCTTCCTGTGAGTCAGGCTGGGAGGAATGAAGGCTTGAAGTCTTAGGCCGTGGCTACACTCAAAACTTCAAAGCGCTGCCATGGGAGCGCTCCCGCGACAGCGCTTTGAAGTGCAGGTACTCCACCTCCACGAGGGGATTAATTTACAGCACTGTTTACACTGGTGCTTTACAGCGCTGTAACTTGCTGCGCTCAGGGGTGTGTTTTTTCACACCCGAGTGAGAAAGTTGCAGCGCTGTAAAGCACCAATGTAGCCAAGCCCTTACAGTGACATGTGATCATGTCACCTGAACTGGAATCCATCTTTAACCTAGTGTCTTTCCATTGAGAAGGAGGGGGTGGGAACCCAGAGAGGGACAAAGGATTCCCGCCTTATGCAAAATATATATATATGGGTGGGACAGAACAAAGGGGAAGCCATCATGAGGAATCCCCTAGCTACCACCTGAGCTGGAACAAGAGCTGTACCCGGGGAAAGAATTGTGCCCAGGCCTGGAAGGTGTCCAGTCTGAGGAAAAAGCTTACTGAAGCATCTCTAAGGGTGAGATTATCTGTATTCAGTTTGATTAGACATAGATTTGCGTGTTTTATTTTATTTTGCTTGGTGACTTACTTTGTTCTATCTGTTACTACTTGGAACCACTTATATCCTACTTTCTGTATTTAATAAAATCACTTTTTACTTATTAATTAACTCAGAGTATGTGTTAATACCTGGGTGGGCAAACAGTTGTGCATATCTCTCAATCAGTGTTATAGAGGGCGAACAATTTATGAATTTACCCTGCATAAGCTTTATACAGGGTAAAACGAAGTTATTTAGGGTTTGGACCCCATTGGGAGTTGGGCATCTGAGTGTTAAAGGCAGGAACACTTCTGTAAGCTGCTTTCAGGTAAGACTACAGCTGTTGGGGACAAGATTCAGACCTGGGTCTGGGTTTGCAGCAGGCTAGCGAGTCTGGTTTAACCAGGCAAGGCACTGAAGTCCTAAGCTGACGGGGCAGGAAATCAGGAGCAGAAGTAGTCTTGGCACATCAGGTGGGAGCTCCCAAGTGGGCATTCTGTGATCTA